TGGCCTCGAACTCACAGAGATCACTTGCCTCTGCCTCCTGAGTGCTGGGATTAAAGGCGTGCGCCACCAACGCCCGGCTGGTCATTTTTAACCATATGAATGTGAATTGAACATCATATCACTTTATGTATGTTTTATTACTTTTAATATGTTGTCTCTTTAGGAGATTTTTTACTATATCTTTATTTTGTGTGTGTATTGGGGACAGTGAATGCCACAGTGTACATAGTAGAGGTCAGAGGATAACTTTCAGGAGTTAGTGCTGTCCCCCCGCCATTCTGGTTCCAGACATTGAACCTGCTTGTCAGCCTTGGTAGCAAGTGCCTTTACCTTTTGAGTTATCTTGCTAGCCCTGGTTTTGTTTGTTGCTTTATTTTAAATGAGCCAAATTTTTAATTTGTTGATTTTTTGCATTTGAAGTGCTCTTCAATGACCTCTTGGCCTGAGATTCTTTGCCATAGTCCTTACCCACTTACATAGCTGCAACCAACTACTTTATGGGGTACCCTCCTTAATAGTTGCAGAGACTTTCCCATTCATTTAGTTTCTTGCTTTTATTAACTTTAGGTTATAAAGTTTATGATGGTTATAAGGTTTATGATGTTCGCATAAAGGGCCTTCAGCATCTTGACATATATAGGATGTCACAATTGGAAACAGACACACAAAGATGTGATTGGAGCTTGTCTAAGGCTTTGGCAGTTCCGTGAATTCATGTTCTAGGCTTTCATGGGTGAGTGTGATCTTAAACACCTCTTGTAAAGCCATCCATTCATTACACCTTCATCAGCAGTGCCTTTTTTGGCCATGGTGGTGGGTAGGATGAAACTGAATCTTGAATGCACTTGAGTACCTGCCTCTAGGAGACTTGGTAGTGGCAGGGAAAATGTCTGTCTGTCTGTCTGTCTATCTATCTATCTAGGAAGTGGCAGAGAAAATGCTCATTTGTTTATTTATTTATTTTGGAAGAATAGTTTATTGAGTATGCTGTAAGAAGGAAGTAGGCTGGGCAGTAACTGTAGTATTGCCTGTAGCTTTATATATGTATATTTTCTGAAAGTCAGTAAGTACCTTTTCTTTATAGTATACTGGAGATTGAATTTAGGGCCTTGGATATGTTAACACTACCACTGACTTAAATCCCAACCCCTTTAGTTTTTGTTGTTTTTTAAAATTTTGAGACAGGGTCATGTATTTTCAGTTGGAAAGCTGAATTGTCCAACCTGAGGTCTTCTTGCCTCAGCTTCCTAAAAAGGACTTTTTCTTTTTGGTGTGTGTATGTGTGTATTCACATGTGTGTTTATAAGTGTACATGCATTAATGTGCATAAATCTGAAGTTGACATCAGGTTGATAGTGTCTACATTATTGAAGGAGGGTCTCTTACTGAATTCTGTAGTTCACCAGTTTCAGCAAGTTTTGGTAGCCAGCGACAAGGGAGTCCCTTGTCTCTGACTTCCAAGTGGTAGGCTTGGAAGTCAGACCTCCTGGCTTTTATGTAGCTTTGAGGGTCTAAATGTCCATCCTCATGCCTGTCTGGAACTCACTATGTAGCTTAGGTTAGCCTTGAATTTTTTGGGTGTTCTTGCCTCATTTTCCCCTCAGCAGTGCTGGAATGACAGATTTAAGCCATTATGCTACGGACCCCTATAAAATGTGTGCTTGTACTGATGATATTCTTTATAGCTTTATTGCATTGGTTACTGTATTTCTTTAGCCCTATTTACACAAATGTATGTATGTATGTACATATTGTGCATGCAGATGAAAGCTAGAGGACAGTTTATGGGAATTGGTTTTCTCTTTCTCCTTCCACTATGAGTGTCTTAGGGATTGAATTTATGATGTTAGCTTTGGCAACATGCTTCTTTACCTTCTGATCCATCTTGTTGGCCCTCTAGCGTTTTTAAATTTGGAAAACTTAGGCTTTCTTCATTTTCCTTATACACACGCACATATGCACGTGCACTCGGGCACCCACCTACCCTACCCAGACAGGGTATCACAATTGTAGCTCTAATTGGCCTGAAACTCACTATATAAATCAGAGATCCTCTGCTTCTGCCTCCTGAATGCTGGTATTAAAAGTATGCACCACAATGCCTGGCTTGTTTGTTAAACAGGGTCTCGTATAGCTCAGACTATGAACTTGCTGTATAGCCGAGGATGCTGATCTTGCCTTTACCTCCCAAGTGTTGAGATGATGGACATGTACCACCACCTTCAGTTATGTGCTGCTGGGGATCAAATTAATGCTTCATGCATGCTAGGCAATGTTTTACCAACTGAGCTCTATCCTACTAACTATTTTTTTTTTTTTAACTTTGGAAATGTTATGCATTTAACATAATGTCTACCATGGTAATTGATTTTTTTTTTTTTTTTTTTTTTTTTTTTTTTTTTTTTTTTTTTCACTTGCTCTGGAGACCAGGCTGGCCTCGCACTCACAGAGATCTGCCTGTCTCTGCCTCCCGAGTGCTGGGATTAAAGGCGTGCACCACCAACGCCCAGCGGTAATTTATTTGTAGTTCAGTTTGTTAAGTATAGTCACATTTTTATGCCGTGAAGCTTTCCAGTTCTCTTTACCTTGTAGAGCTAAAACCTGCTGCTCACTGAACAATACCTCCCCATTCCTGCTAACCCCTCTGGCTTTTATCCTATTCTCTATGTCTCTGAATTTGGTTATTCCATGTCAGATATAATTTTAATAATTTTGTGACTATTTTATTTCACTTAACATAATGTCTTCTAGATTTATCTGTGTAATAGCATGTGTCAGACTCCAGGCTTGCCTTTTAAAGAAGAAGTGTGTGTGTTTTGTATGTGCGGGCTTTCCCTGAACCTGGGGCTCATGTTTTCTTGGCTAGCCTGGAACCTAACAGTCGACTGCAATTGTTCTGTCCCTGCTCTCCTTGGAGCTGAACTTCATAGGCATGTGCAGGATGCTCCAGTCCTCTTAAGTTGTATCCTTGTCTATGAGAGTTTGACTTTCTGTCCTTGTAAGATAGTGTCTTAAGAACTGTACCAAGGAGTCCTTTGACATGCTTGAAAGATGCAGAACTCAGGCCTGTACCCTTGTAGATTTTGGTCTGATTGTTTAAGAATAGTGCTTCATTTTAGAGTAAGCAGTTGAGGCAGTTCTGGTGTTTATCCTGCCTAGGACATGTTCCATGGTAGAGGTCTCTAAGGCTTTTGAAAATTTCTTGTGGGAAATGTTTCAGATTTGTTTCCTCCCTCAGTTATTTTGATCTTACTTATCAGTTGATAGGCTTATTTACATTTGCTTTGGCTTACGATTTTAGTTAATTAGTATGTTCTCTTATCTAATTTGAAACAGAGATGTGAAATGCCTGATTTAGTTAACTGGAAAGTCTAGTTTCTTTCTAGTAGGTTGTGGTAGATTTTTATGGAAACATTGCTATACGGTTTTTCATTCTTAGTTTAATCTCAGACATAATCTGAACATGGCAAGGCCATGTTCACTTTCTGTATTGCCTCAACTTACTAAATGAAATGTCTGACATCTCTCAGGCATAAATGCTTAACTTCTGGTCTCCTCAGCTTGAACACAGATTGCTGTTGAGTGGAAAGGGGAGTCCTGGCTAGTGCTCTGCTGTGATTCAGTGAACAGGACTGGGTTACTTGGTTATCTAGTGTGAGGGTACCATCTTGATATGTGATGTTGCCTAGGCCATTTTCACTGTTTCCTCTTTTATTTTTCTCTGTAAAAAAAAAAAAATCAGTCTTCCTTCCTTCCTTCCTTCCTTCCTTCCTTCCTTCCTTCCATTTGGGTTTTTGAGACAGGGTTTATCTGTGTAGCTTTGGATTCTGTCCTGGAACTCGCTTTGTAGACCAGGCTTACTTTGAACTCAGTGATCTGCCTGCCTCTGCTTTCTGAGTGCTGGGATTAAGGGCATGTGCCACCACCGCTCAGCAGTCCTTACTTCTTACAAATTTCCCAAGGATCAAATGAGGGTGGAGCTATGACTTACAGTTAGGCATTCTGTCACTGGGCTACTTCCCTAGCAAGAGAGCTGTGGTAGAGTTCTCAAACGGAATAGAACTGACAGAATGGAAAAAACAATATGGACTTATTAGACTGATTTATAGATTGTAGTCCAGGTAATCCCCATAATGGCTGTCTCATAACAGACAGGACAAGAATCTAGTAGTTGTTTAGTCCATGAGGCTGGGTGTCTTTGCAGTCCCAGTCTGGTTGGGGCTGGAGTCTGAGAGGATCTGCATTGGAATCCTGATAGAATTGGATATAATATCAGCCACAGCAACAGGATAAACAAATTTGCCAGTGAAAGTGAGGGTGGGCAGTAAAAAGCAAAAGTTCGTTCTTCCACACCCTTTTAAGTAGGCTGCTACTAGATGGTGTGGCCCAAACTTGGGTTGGTCTTCCCACCTCAAATATCTGATCACACAGCAGCACCTTGGTTTTAGTTGATTCTAGATGTAGTCAAGTTGACAGTCAAGATTAGCCACCATAGGAGCCTTGACTAATAATGTGGCATTGTTGTTAGTCAAAGCCAAGACTGCTTGAATAAATAGCTATTGCTCAGGACTCATGAGACTCAGGATATCTCATAAAAATATAAACTTATTTCTAGAGTTTAGGAGCCTGTTGTGTTGGCAGGCTAATTTCTAGCCTATATATTTGAAAAGTCAACCACTGAATTTTATTAAGATCTCTATATATACAAAGGATTTTGCAGCACTACTGAATTACATTTGCAGATGGCCAGGAAGATTTCAGATTTGTTTTTGACATCTTTCTACATGTTTACATAATGCTCATGTATAACCTTGGCCCCTGGTAGTCTTAAAATTGTCTTTGAGAATCAGAGACCTGACTTTGTTTCCTTATCATGCCTCAGTTTCTAGCCAGTTGGGAATTATTTTCTATTCAGTATTAGCATGTAGCTGGGAGAGTATACTGAGTTGAAAGTCAGGAGGTCTTCCATTGAGTCAGTGACTTTGGACAAATCTTCCTTTCTGGGCTTCGTGTTCACTGTCTGTAGAATGAGCAAGTTGAATTGGCTGGTTTCTTAGTGCACTTCCAGCTTTGGTAAGATTCTGTGATTCTCTTTGTGTCATGCCTTATTGAAATGAGTTTTAATGCTATTTTTCCTCCCTCTTAGGCAGATGTTTGGAGCATGGGTATCCTTTTATATGTACTTATGTGTGGATTTCTGCCGTTTGATGATGATAATGTCATGGCTTTGTACAAGAAGATTATGGTGAGTATTATGGGTACAGGATTTCAGGAAAGCTGTCTGTGCTGCTTATTGTATGCTTCCATGAATAAAAGTACCAAAAGGCAAATGTATTCCAGGCTGTTAGAAGTTAAGACTATAGAAAGTTGGGCAGTGGTGTCGCATGCCTTTAGTCCCAGCACTCAGAAGGCAGAGGCAGGGGGATCTCTGTGAGTTCGAGGCCAGCCTGGTCTACAGAGTGAGTTCCAGGACAGAAAGGGCTACCCAGAGAAGTCCTGTCTTTGGAAAAAAAAAACAAAAAACAAAAACCTAGACAGCCACAAAATTTGTAATGATGATGATGGTTTTTCAAGAGTGTATGTGTGCACTCTCGCATGCATGAAACATGATGTCCGTGTTTGGGCCTGTAGGTGAGCCATAGTATGCATGCATGTGTGTTCATTCATGCATGATATCCATGTATGGGCCTATAAGTGTGGCAGTCAAAAGACATGATTTAATTTAGTTCTTAAGGATTTACTATATTAAATTTTGTGTATATGTGAGTTCAGGTGCCTGCAGAGGCCAGAAGGTGTGAGATCCCATGGAGCTGGAGATCCAGGTAGTCGTGTACCCTCTGACATAGGTGTTGGGAACCAAACCTCCAGAAGAGCAGTAAGTGCTCTTAACCACTGAGAGAAAAAGGAGACCAGGGTGGTGATAGGTAGGAATTCAGGTAAGAGATTAGCAGTGCAAGTAGTGAGAAGGTGGGCAAGTGAAAGAGAAGGAAAGGCAGTGGGGGGGAATGTCTGTTTTATCCTATTAAAAAGTACTGGGTGGGGGCTGGAGAGATAGCTGAGGGGTTAAGAGCACTGAATGTTCTTTCAGAGTACCCAGGTTCAATTCCCAGCACCCGCATGGCAGCTCACAACTGTCTGTAGTTCCAGTTCTGGGGGATCCAACACCCTCACACAGACATGCAGGGAAAACACCAATGCAAAAAAAAGAAAGAAAAATTACTGGATGACCTGTCTAGAGTATTTCTTTTTTAAGTTGCTTTTGGTCATTATGTTTTATTACAGCACAAAATGTAACTGATACAGGAGGGATAATGAAGCAGGAAGAGGGAAAGTATTTGAAGTTACCCAGTTATTTGCAGAATTGAGATATGAGCTCAGGTGGTTTGGATTCAGCCTATATTCCTATCATGCCGTCATGAGTCCTGAGGACACTAACACATTTCCTATGTGTTGCTAAGCTACATATTTTAGGATTTTGTAATATACTTATACTTTGTAATAGTAATAATGATTAACTAATAATTGTGATGTCAGAAGTGGTAGGGACCCAACTTTTCCCTTTTCTCTTTCTCTAGGTGCTTGGGGTGGGTCTAATGCAGGGCCTTGGTGTATGTAGGTCAGCACTCCATTACTGAGCCACACCCCAAGCCCAACTTTTTCCTTTTTAAAAAATTTAAAGACACCCTATTGTTCTAAAAAATTGTGAAGATAGTACGGAGTGTCCATTTACCCCTCACTTATTTTTCTGTGTTTTTATCCATTACATTTGTCACACTAAGGAACTAATGCCGTTCATTACCATTAACTAAACTATTTTATTTGGATTTCAGCATACTTTCTCTAATGTCCTTTTGGTATTTTAGATTCCTTCATTTTCCTTAGTCTTCTCTGATCTAGAATACTTTCTAGAGGTTCAACATTTCTTTGTCAGATTAGCTGCTTATCCAATACTGTTTATCAATAATTCATCATTTTTGCAGTTTCTTGAACTGAGTTAATTATTCTAGATTTACTTTATGTGTATGAATATTTTACTTGTATGCCTGACATGCATGCTTGGTGTCTGCAGAGGTAAGAAAGCTTCAGATTCTTAGATGGTTGTGAGCCGCTATTTGGCTGTAGGAATCAAAACCAAGTCCTCTGCAAGAGCAAGTCCTCTAAACCACTGAACTATTTCTTCAGCCCCTGGAATGAGAGTTTTTAATAGTTCCAGTCTCTTAATATTCATGCCTTCCTTGTCTACAACTTCAAATTGTCCTTTTCTGGTCAAACTATACATTTTCCAAATACCTCTGCCCTGATTTTGCTCCTGCTTCTTGCCATTAAACTGGCGAATACCAGCCAGCAGTGACCATGCTACAGTTTGGATGCTGTGCTATCTTGAAATATCCTTAATAGGCTATTCCTTCTAAATTCAGCCTCATCAACATCTTGGGATATAAATAAAATATGGGTGAATTCTTTGCCAGAATTTAACATGAATGGTCAGTG